CTCCAGTATTCGATTGTTTTGAGGTTCTTAGAAGAAAATGTTGTCATTCACCAATCTGGAAAGAAAGAATTCAAGTATTTCGAATTCTTTAACTTCTTTGTCCTCACTAGTGATTAGTTGTCAGATTGATTTAAGGATGACAATAAAAAGTCAAGACTTGTGTGGCCCATCATCAAATGAAATCTGGTCAGTGTGGCCTAAACTAAAAGAAGTCGGTAATGTTCAGTTGCCGGATTTCACTTCTTTGAACGAATGGTCAAGTGTCTCCTGTATGGTTGTTATGCAGAGCGCTAAAGTAAAATGGGGCAGAAGTTCAACGCTTCCCAGATTATAATCGTTCTTCGAAAGTTGTCTGTTTTTGACAAAACTCATACTGGAGTTATATTAATTATCTAACTCCTGTTTTACAAATAAGCTATAAAATCAATCAGGTCAACACTCAGGTGAAATTAATGATCAGGTCAAATCTGGAATTTTCAACTCCAGACTTTAATCCTGTTATTGTATATTTTATTAACAGTTTAAGGCAAATCATATGCTGACCGAATTGCAACTCTACACACAGTCATCGGACAAAGCATAGAATGGCAGTCAAACCTGTCTCTACCTCAACTTCATCGACTTGGAAAAGGCCTTCACCAGACAGTGTTGACCAAGAAGTAATTTGGAAAGTACTTAAACACTAAGGCGTACCTCAAGTATTTACCAACCTCATTCAACAGCAATATGACAGTGGAATGCATCAGGTGGTCCACAATGGAAAACTCATTGAAGCGTTTGAAGTGAACACAGGAGTAAGAGAAAGCTGCCTGCCTATTATTACCCACGATGATATTCTCAATTGTGGTGGACTGGACTATGCGTAAAACTGTGAGTGGAGAGCGAGGAGACAGGAATACGCTGGACCACCGATAAGGAGACTCTAGAACATTTGGATTTCGCGTGTGGATGATTTGTGCTTAATGTCACACATACTCGAATACTTGCGGGCGAAAACTGGCAAAAAACTGGCAAAAGAGGCTGGCTGCCTGGCAGCGAAGACAGGACTCCAGCTGAACACTGAGAAGACGGAGTTGATGAAGATAACCTAACGAACCGTGCTAACAACCAGCACCAATCACCATCAACGGGGGAGATTTGAAAGAGGTTCTCTCCTTCACTTATCCGACTAGGAATCATCGTTTCAACCCCGGGTATCCGGAACGGATGATATCAAAATCAGCCAGAATCGAAAAGGCAAGATACTCACACCTTCATCAATATGAAATTGGTTTGTACATCTTCTGCACTTCACCTCAGCATTAACAACAAGATTCGGATTTTCAACACAAATGTGAGGCCAGTCAGTCAGTTCTTCTATATGGGTCAGAAACTTGGCCAGTGTGTCACGAAAAAGGTTTTGAACAGGTTGCAAACTTCCATCAACAGCTGCTGCCTTCGCTGGCTCCATACTGAAGAGCAAATGGCCAGAAAGAATAAGCCACAAGAACCTATGGGAACAAACCAACCAAGAGCCGATTGCTCAATAAATATTTAGGAGCAAATGGAGATAGATGAGGCATACATTGGGGAGACTGTCGAATGACGTCGCGCGCCAGGCCGTCGAGTGGAATACAAATAGGAAGCGATGACTGAATTGTCAGTGCGAGGGTGACATGGAAGAGATCGTGAGAAGAGGAGATGAGGGATTATTGCCAATCAAGAACCCAGGTGAAGAAAATAGAACAAAGTTGAGATGTGTTGTCGAAGCCCTATGTTCCGTTTGGAATTCAAGGGAATGATAATACATCATATAATTAACGGTTTCCTTGCATTATCACTGACAAACGTTTCTCTCAGATTTTCTGCATGAAAACTATGAGTTTGGCTAGAGATGATGGTACTGCTCAGCTACAATAACCAGTTTACAATGTGAAGATAATCAACAATTCACAATGAAGAACATTACGAAGCTTGGTAACGTGCTACTGACTGATATAAATAAGTAGTCGGAAGTCACTGTAGTACTGCTTGCTAGACAGATGATATAATTAACCTTAAATGCTGTATTAGCACCAAATTTATGCTCACTGTCAACAAGGTGGGCTAAATCAGAGCTATGAATACATCTCGTTTGTCACTTGCTTAATCACAAGGCAGGATTATGTACGGAAATACGGTGATGAACCTGTCTAATTGTACGCTCAATGTAGCTGGCAATATAGCTTTGGAGGACGAGGCGAAATTTGGTAGTTCGTTGTTATTCCTCTCATGTATATTCGGAGTGGTATTGAAGGGACAACGTGATTTTGTTGCACTGAATACTTATTTAACTGCATTCTTCAGACGCTGTTACGTTACTATTTCTCAGATGAACAATGGCTTTGTTTGGAGCTGTTTCCATACTGACTCTCCTTGATGCTAAATTCCTATTTTCCTCAATGAACTTATCTGGATCACGGTTTTTACTGAGTAATTCTCTGACAATCTTATGCTCCTCATTGAGAAAGAGAGACAGTCGTTTGAGCAGATTATCCTAGCTGTGTGAACCAAACACTTTATTAAGTCGCTTTTACATTTCATGGGTGCAGAACTGAAGAGATGTGTGTATTGACCTGTCGTTGTATGTTTCCTCTACACACTCCTTGTTAGTTAACCATCCATTTTTCTGGTCAGGAAGACGTCTAGGAATGAGATGCTGTCAGTCTCTCTGGTGAAGTTTATTTCTGAATGCACAGCACTGAACTTGTCGAGGATGTTCGTTGCTTCATTCTTTTTTGTTTGTTTGTTTGATAATCGGAAACACCAGAATGTCAGAATTTATTTTCTTTGTATTGTATTGTATTGAAAATACTACATATATATTAGAGTAGATTCAGAGATGAAGACCTTATTGAATAGTGAACGTTTCTTCATGCTATGCCTTTGGCTTCATACAACTACACCAATGGTTATTTACTCAGTGGACTGTCTATTCTCTTTCTAACTGCTAGAGTTTTTTAATAATGAGGTGCAAGTGGTCGTAAATTGGTCGCGACCAGCTGTGCATTGTACACATCATTGTAACCTAAAAGCTATGCGAATTTAAGGCTAATCAACTTCTCTGAATCACTGATCCTCATGTAGTTCTCTTTTTCTGTCAACAAAGCAAATATTTTACTCTTTGTTTCATAAAATCTCTAGTCGATCAGCAACTTTCTCTATTGACACTGAGTGTCTTGCTTACAAGATGCATTTCCAACCATTAGGGATGCGGATTTCTCGTTAGATATTCGAATCTCTATTATTATTTATCATCACAGTTGATGATTTCACCGATAAGCCCCTCAGCTGATGACTAATGTCGTATGTTTGGCATGCGATTCGCCCCTGTAAGATGATGCTGCAGGATTGGACTTCACCGACCCCTAGATTAGAAATAGGAACTGAATTGGTAGAGCACGTTGACCACTTCACTTACTTGGGAAATACCATCAGCCCCAACGGGTTGATCTCCGACGAAATCTCAGTACAAATACAGAGGGCTAGTTTCGAATATGCCAATTTACGCCGTCTCTGGCGTAGACGCGATATCCGACTATCGACCAAAGGGCGTGTGTACTGCTCAACAGTCCGCTCCGTCCTCCTTTATGGCTGTGAGACCTGGCCACTGAGAGCACAAGACATGAAAAGATTAGCTAGCTGTCTTTGATCATAGGTGTCTGAGTTCTATCTCCCGTGTGAAGTGGTATAATAAGGCGAGCAATATTGGGGTTAGACCTCGGTCGAGTGCTAGGTAAGGCGGGGAAATCAATCGACGAGACTGTGAAATTACATCGACTGAGATGGTTATGACATGTATTACGTATGCCTAGTCATCGCCTTCCTCGACTACGGGCAATGTTAGCTGATATAGGGCCAGGCTGGAAAAGAGCTAGTGGCGGTCAAACCAAAACATGGCACCAGTCAATGAAATCCACAACAGTTAGTCTAAGCCACGTAGGAAGGTGTAGACTTCCTGACTGGTTGGGGTCCTCGGGACGGTAAAAACCAATGGATGGAAACAATTGGTGATATGGCTCAAAATCGTTCTCATTGGCGCAGATGCATCCACTCCTTGTGACTTGTGATTTCCAATGAAACTATATTGTTCTTCGTTATTACTATTCCTTTGTCTCACACCTCTGTTTACTGTCTCTAATATGCATTTCTGCTACTTTCTTCTCTTCTTTTGTGTGCTACATGGAGTGTGGCGACTTGAACTTCCGCACATATGTGCAAAGTTCTATGTCGAAAACCGACCGACCGAATACTATCGTCATGCACTGATAGCCCGTATAGGGGAAGATATGCTTCCGTTAAATTTCCAGCTGACGACGACTGGTTACATTTCTGTGAATGGTTTATCGTAAAGTTAAAGTGCATTTGAAAGTTCGTTAAAAATCAATCAGTCCACACGTATTGTCTCTCTCGATGAGGAACGCAGTTAAAAGAGAGAAAAAAAGGAGTACAGAATGACTTCTCTTTTTTTAAACTTTGCCTTGAATACACTTCTACTAGGAAGTGATTTCCACTTGACTTAACACTTATAATTTTAGTTAATATTGATCCAGAAAATTATTTTAGGCAGTCAAGAGTCATTAAGAAGGGCGTAGCCTAGTTTTCGTTATTCCATACTTATATGTTGTTGTTAACCTGTCTGTATAAACAGTACAGTATAGTACAGTACAGTACACAAAGGGCGTTTGCCACACCTGTTCAATGGGCGATGTATTGTCGTTAGTGCTTTTTTTGTTTTGTAAACGTTTTGTTCACAATGTTGTAGACCTAAAGCAAAATGGGACTAGAAATTCACGTATGCAATCAATCAGGTGACTACTGCATGCATAACCACTTCCTCAAATCATCATGACTCATAAACGTCATCATCTTACATCCCTTGTAGAGAGAGTTATGAGAAGAAATAACATAATAATCCTATCGAAACAGGTTAAGCATTGATTGTCTTTTTTGGAGGGAAAACAAAAACAAATTCGAGGCAATTGTAGGTGGTAATGCATATATATGTATATTTAAGGACAGAGGGGAAAAGAGAATAAAGATCATGGGGAAAGTCACCATGCCTACATACATACAAACATATATGCATATGCATTTCTTATGAATAATACAAGTGCATGATCAATATGTTGGCAACAATTTGGCATAAAAAAATGAATCACACAAGTATTTCAAAAATTCCACCACACTGAGAAGCGCTTCACAAGCCCCCGGTCGTTAAATGTACTTGCCATAATACAAATGCATATATTTATACAAAAACAAATAAACATTACTAACTAGTAGGGGGAGTTGAAATACCAAAGGAAGTTCAATTGTGAAGGGAGTGGAAAATTGTTGACTCAGTATTTTGTTGTTTTGTCGTTTGTTTGTTGTTTTTTTAAAAATTTATTTTTGGAAGGAAAATTTACTGACACACATACATACACTACAAATAAAGCAGAGAAAAAGGACAAAATGTGTTTTTTGGCAATAGGTAGATATATAAACATATGTGGCACACCTCTAAGTGCAAAAAAAAGAACGGGGTAAAATAGCAATAACTAGCTGGGAATGTATGATTACTGAATCAGTCTGGGATAAGTTAAAAACTGTAGCTAAAATCTTGAATCATTCAATAAGATTTTAAGTGATCAATCAAGGTGATGATATGGGTAGATGCATCAAAATGGTACAATACATGTGCTCAAATAATTTAATATCACAATTAATTAACTAGTACAAACTCTCTCTCTCTCTCTTCATAAGTCAAATAAGCAGTCTAGGCATCTTGGTGGGAAGTGCACAAAGTAAATGATCAATTACAAAAAGGACACAATCTCAAATTTACGATGTAGTATATGTATAGCAATAGCAAAGGTTTCTCTCACTTCTCTTGGTGTAAGAAGCTTGTTTGTGTGTGTATGTGTATATGTGTATCTCGATTAGTGATTAGTGAGCACTAATGATATCTAAGTATGGCTAAAAAAACACAAGACATTTATTGATTTCTTCATATCACAGCTGTACAATATTCCAGTGTAACTAGAACAACAACAATAACAGTAACAACAACAACCAAAACGAGGAAGTGAAAATCAATTTAGCAGTCTCTGAGACAAAAATTATTTCCCCAAAAAGACAATCAAATTTGTGTACACCATTATATGTCAAAAAAAAATAGAATTTAAGCAAGTTAACCCGAGAATTCAGCAGGCGGTGGAAGTAGCAGTTCTGAATTCGTTGGCGAGACTCCTCTGCCTGTTCCCCTGGCTTCATTTGTTACAACAGTTACTACTGTTGGCGTTAACGTGGATGTCGATTCATTGTCCGATACAGAAATCATATTCTTCTTTCGTGTCTCTGGATTCAACGATATCGGTCGTCTGATAAGGTGGGTCGGCCTGCCTGTAATTATTGGAGAGGATTGTTGATCGGATACTGGAAATGATCGGTGGCTGATTGCCTGTCTAGAGGATATTTTAGACATTGTATTCGACGGATAATCATTGCTAAGGTTTCTGTGCAGTCTGCCGTCAGTTATACGTAGATCATCAGTTATTGGCTTAGATGACTGAGTAGAATTCGAAGGGGAATAAGACGAACCTTGAGAGTCATTTGAGCCGACACGATGAAATCTTGGATGACGTGGAAAGTATAGTGAATTGGTTAGAGGAATACCAGATTTATCCAAATCAACCTATTAAATTTTTTAAAAAAGAAAATATTTACGGTGATTAAAAGATTGACATATTTTTCCTTATTACAAACCCTTACAAATCAAACTATAGAAAATTAATCTGATACTCGCTAGTGACTTGCTACAGGATGGAGTTTCCTGGAGTTAAAGTGAGAAGTCGTGACTAGTGAGGTCCATCCAGATGTCAATTGTGAAGATGGATGTCCCACCGACAACATTGGTTGGTTCCAGTCGCGCTAAATCACGAATTGGTAGAAGTTAGAATTCATGACCTGGCCACTGAATCAGGTCTCAGTGGCTGGATGGTATACGAGCTAGCTTGGCTTGTAACCAGAAGGTCCTGGGTTCGAATCCCAGTGGGTGCGTACTGCCGATGATTCCCAAACTAGGATGAAACAGCAGCTGTCCAGTACTCCAGTACTGGTTTTCAATGGTTCTCTAACTGATATCAGTCCGTGATCAACTCGTAAAATACTACTACTATAGCCGTAATTCAAACTGTGACTTTCTCACACAACCAGTTTGTGTTATAATTAACAAATAAATCCACTTTCAACTATTGGTTTTGTAGGGAATTTTGTTTGATTGGTTGAAGGATTTCATCATGAGCTGACATCGATTAGAGAACCATAAGAAAACCTATAGGAAGTACTGGACAGCTGTTTCCATTGTCCTAGTTTGGGACTGACTCTTCAGCATAACGCACCCACCGGGGCTCGCACCCAGGACCATCTGGTTATAAGGCGAGGTAATTCATGACATAGCGCGACCACTTCGTAATTTCTCCCTCGATGAATTACTGCCTCACCTTTAACCACGAGGAAACAGCTCTCTAGTACTCCCTGCAGGTTTTCCGATGGTGTCAGGTCATGGTGAAATCCTCCAATCAGTCACACCAGATCACTACAAAACCAATACTTGAAAATTGACCTGGTGCTCACTAGTGACTCGCCCTATTCAGGCAGTGATCTGGGATTCTAGTGGAAAGCCATGACCAGGAAGGTACAGCAGGTCGGAGGTTAGGACAATTACTCTTCGAAGATATTGTCAACTGGTCGCGCTATGTCATAACATGACAAAAGTTAGGATTCATGAGCTGGTCATTGGATCGGATCCCAGTGGTTTGATAGTCTACGAGCTAGCTCGCCTTGTAAAGAAAAGGTCCTAGGTCCCAACCCTGAAGAGTCCCGAACTAGGACAAAATAGCTGTCAAGTACTCCATACAAGTTTTCCTATGGTTCTCTAATCGATGTCAGCTCATGGTGAAATCCTCCAACCAATTAAGTCCATTGTCTTTAAACACTGAAAAGATGTGCCACCATCTTTTTTTTATTGATTTAAAGTTGAACTAATTGTGACGATAACAGTAAACTCTTCAGGAGAAAAAAAGGCACACAGACTAGTACACCGCATATTTTGTGTTTGATTTTTTGGAGGGTTTAGTGTCTGCTCAGTTTTTATAACAGTTTGGCGAGAATATGTGGACTTTCACAAACAGAGACAGTGGTAATTTACTGTATAGTTAGTTATTAAAGGTTTATCATTAATAACCGGACCACCTATGTCCTCAATACAAACTAACATCGTGAGGATGTCTACGATCGTTTAACCTCTAGGTTATTGTTAGCTTCATTACTGATTACAAGTTTAAGATGGGGATAAATATATTTTTATCTATGAATACAACCTGAAATTGCCAAAAAAAATATAAAACAAGTTCTTGAAAGTTGTACTACCACTTACATTTGATATACCCGTGGTGGTTTGAGATCTTGGTAAACCACGAAATCGTACTCTGTGAGATTGTATTTCAAGATTCTGTTTACTATTTGGCATAGAGGACTGTTGTAGTATGCCTGGATTTATAGGGAGTTTCGTTGTGTTCATTGTCGGTCCTTGTCGACTACTGGAAGAACTGCGGGCAGATACATTTGTACTCGTGTTCGGTGACTGGCACCAAATACCTTCATCTAAAGAAAGTTAAACAATAAACAAAACTATTATAGTTGTTTTTTTTCAAATTTATGCTAAATAACCCCCAACAGGATTATGTAAGTTTGTTAGAGTTGTCAATTTGACAGTTGGTGTCAGCGGCCCAATGGCTGAGTGATTACCAGCCACATGGAAGGTCCGGATACGATACCTGTCCGACTCATACCTTGACTTCGCCTAGTTCACTAGCCCGCAGTTATACTCCAAAAAAGGAAAAGGATGGGCGTAATCGTAGCAGTCCAACCTGTAAAAGCAACACTACCGCTACTAAGACTTCAAAAGGCATGAAGCCCTTAAGCAATGACAGAAATTAGACTCTGGAGCAGTATTGTGTATGCTAAATGAAAGCAGTTGAGGCTGACTTGAAACCGGTGTGGATGTCATTCAAAGAGTCGATGTTGACATCTGCTAACTAAGACACACTTCTTAACGGTCCATAGCTATCAATACTCCGGTACTTACAATAAATGACCTCAATAAACACCTGAGATGATATGGTCCATTTATTCTACTCTACTTTAAGCACTGGTTAGAAAGAACAATGGTAATATATATTCAATTGTCAGAAGACAGTAGGCCTGCCAGTGATAGTTGTACAAAATCAGCTAGCTGGTAATATATTCTAGGTACGCATTTCATAGCAACACAGAACCACAGAGGCATTGAAACGATCAAGGAGATGACAGTGGTGGTTTCGAAACGACAGTAACAATTATTTCTTCGTTATATGTAATACCGCTGATATGTATGACTGCACCTTTGATTTCTTTGTAATTCGATATTTGGAATATTAAAATTTAAGAATTAAAACAGTGAAAAAATTATTTCTCTCAATTAAGATCTCTATCAATATTCTAATATACATATATATAATTGTTCCCTTGAGTTCCTAGTGGAACATAGGGCTTCAACTACACGTCTCCACTTGCTTCTATCTTCTGCTGTACTAATAAACCTGCATACATGTTAATGCATACTGTTTCAATTCCTCTTCGCACGATCTCCTCCATGTCACCCACACTTGGACGTCCCACTCGCCGCTTCCATTTCGGCTTCCACTCGAGTGATGGCCTGACGCGCGATGTCACCCAGCCGCCTCCTCAGCGAGTGTCCAATCGATCTCCACTTTCTCCTGCATATTTGTTGAGCGATTGGTTCTTGTTTTGTCTGTTCCCATAGTTTCTTGTTGGTTCTTGTTCTTTCCGGCCATCTGATCTTCAGTATAGAGCGAAGACAGCTGTTGTTGATAAAAATATGCAACAGGCTGTTGGAAGAGGAAGTCTTGGACCTAGGTCTCGTGCTTGTTGGCACTCAAGGCGTATCTGCAACCTAGAAGTAACTCATGTCCCTCCTAAGATTCGAACCCATACAACCAAGTGTCACGGTCAGAGACGTTACCACTGAGCAGCTATTCAGACTTACAATTGACCTCCTGAAGGATTGCATTGGATAATTTGATTGAACACTGTTGTCAGGCGTCTAGAGTTCCTTCAAGATTGCAGATACGTCTTACTGACTAGTGTCCAGGGCCTCCTGGCCATTACCTCCAACCGTACACCGTGATGTTGCGCCACCTAGATTGGTGGCCATATTGCAAACTTGACTGACTCACAGAATTCACTCTTCACCAAATAAAATACCAGACACACGATACTGGTTACTTATTACCTGGTTAGTGTTCAGTCAAAGTATTTATCCTCCTTTGATTTGAAGAGACATTACCACTACTGCTGCCATCAAGATATATTTAAGAGTTAAGTAAAATGTGACTACAAGTGATGAAAGGTCGGTTAACGCTGAACAACTACATACATACGGAACTTTGATTCTCCTCTCTTCGAATAAGAAATCATACTGAATACTATGCATATTATAATTTTTGGAAATAATAAAGTGGGCTTATTAGCACCCTTGCTAGGCTGTCCTGCTTATAACCCTAAAATCGTATAGTAAACACAGCATAAGCTATATAGACGATATGAGCGTGAGTTAAACGGTTCTCATGGCTAGCTTATATGACTGTGTATGGTTTTCTGTAGTCTTGGCAGACGTATAGAAGCTATTTACATGCTAAATTGGTTGGGAGAGGGTTAACGATTTCATTGAATTTGGTGGCTGCTGGCTTCGTTTATAGGGGCCTATTGTCACTATAGCGTTGCTATGCGTGCTACTTTTGCATATAATAATACGTTTGGCTAGTCTTGTATACGAGATGAGTTCTATCGGGCTTGTCAATGCAGTGCATAATTGATTGACGCGATTAATGATCGGCGTAACAGTGCTTACCTATCATTAGTTTACTAACGGTGCGAATGGTCCACCGAGACAGAGGGCTCTCGAGTGGTTGCGCCACAGGATGATCCTACATGCCGGCAGGGAAAACCAGTACCCAGTCAATGGGTTTATCACTGTGTGAATAAACTGGTTGATCCTGCCAGTAGTCATATGCTTGTCTCAGACTGGTTTTAGCATAGAACTTTGCACAGATGTGTGCACCAGTTCGAGTTGCCACACTCCCTTCATGAAGCACACAAATCAAGAGAAGAGATTAAAGAGAGATTCAAAACAGAGAGAGATAATAAACAGAAGTGTGATCGAGGGAAAAAGAATAGTAATATGTGAGAAAAATAGAGTTGTATTAGGTATAATAAATCACCAGGAGTAAATGCATCTACGCCACCACTGAGAGCGATTTGCAGCCATATAACCGATTGTTTACATATATGAAACCTAGGCCATTAGTGCACTGTGATTATTGCACAGTGTATGCATATATCAAGCACTTCAAAGATACAACGTAATAGATTGTGAAAAAAATATATATAGGTGCTTCTGAGATTAACTGCAGTAGTAACCGCGTAATTTGATGCTTTCAGTGCTTACCATTGAAATCAATAAGTTCTTATATAAAAAAATTCACTTTTCTGAAAATCTCCCTTTCTCTCTTCCTTATACAACGAAATTACTTTATTCATCCAGTGAATTTTGACTAACACTGGTGCGTTGCTATGACCACCAGCAGGCGAAATGACAAAAGACTTCTGACCGGAAATAATTCTAGAACTTTCTCACACATGTAATATATAAATACACGAATGTACAGCCTAGCTGACGACATCGTCGTAAAGAAATTTTTTTCGCTGCAACCGTCTTTTTAATAATTCCTATGATTCAATGTGTATATCCTGAGATATGCAAGTGCAAAGTTTCAAACGTTAAAGGTTTGAAGAGATCTGTAGTCATGATAGAGACGTTTTCGGCTAACGAAAACTGCATATATCACACTGCAATGCATACGAGATAATTTCTGTAGAACACCTACACTGTCTTCGTGGTAAATGTGACGGATAAGTGCCGACTGTTTCGTAAGTGATGCGTCTATAGAGGAGTAGACTCAAAGACTGTTTCTGTAATCGATGTTTTTGTTTAGAAATGCTTTCAAGTTCTTTATTGTCTACAAAAAAGTATTAAAATAGCATCTTCGTACTGTTAATACTTGCTCTGGGATTGTCACTGGAGTAAGTTTCAGCTCATCAGCTTTGACTATAGTCAGCAGTGTAAACAAATGTTTTCGTGGCATACAGAAAAAAAAAGCCAAAACCTTACAAATTACCCATAAGTAGCCGAGTATTTTGACACAATTTTAAATTTTAATTTCAATTTCATAGCTAAAAAGTTATGAATGCACATCAGTGCCAAAAAAACACTTTATTTGAATCTGGAATTCAGGGCAGTCCTAGCAGTAGGTACTTCTTAAGAGGAGAATCTCCAATTCTCTGAAGAAGACTTTTCCTGCTGCAACTCTCCGAGTGATATTCTCTAGCCGCCCACTATTTCGGAGCAACGCAAAGGACAGACTTCCGCATATGACCACTTCAGTGTGCATATATCAGTTCACCTGCTTGTGCGCAGCTAGGTACATAGGTCGTTCTATGCAAATAGTATCGTGTTAGAGAACATCACCCGGCATGGTTGCAAACAGGAGGCACTGGTTCAATCAGAAGTACCATAAATGAACACCTCGTCAACACCTGTCACAGCATCTCAACTGACTCATCATTCAGAGTCATTTACAAAGTAAACAAAAATCTAACAAAGGCAAAGGCAGGAGTTCGCTCCATATGCATCGAAAAGCCGGAGCTGTATGCTAAAAAAAGAAATTAGTCCAGCCTTTACAACTACCGTGGACCTAGTTCGGTATATTCCCTTAGCCTTCACTTTTTTGTTTTGTTCTCTGTGTGTGTATTTTCTCTCTCTTTGTCTTCATTCAATTCATCCTATTTTTTCAGTTATAAAATCAGTTATTTTAAGTTTGTTTCCATGCTCCTCCTGATCACACTTGCAATCCGTTTAGAGTAACTATTTCACAATTATATTCTAATCCTGTGTAACTTTTCGTTTCTATATCTCCTGTAATCAATATTCACACCTCCTAACTTATATTTCAAGTTGAAAATTTTGTTTTCAATTTGTTTCCATCCTGATTTTGTTCACAACTGTAATTCTTTCTATCCCTGCGTAATTTTTGTTTCTAAGCCACTTGTAATTCATATCAAGTTAAAAATAATTGTCACCTTTTATTCGCCTTTAAAATTATCTCTCCAGTTATCAAATACTAATTTTGCATGCGTTGTAAGATTGATGTTAACCAGGCGGCTTTCAGGGTCATTTACCGCATACCAACAAATCTCAATTTTGCCTTAAGAGTTCGACTACTAAACATTGCTGAGGCTGTGGGGATTCACATTAAGAAGCCTAATTTATGCATCCAAAAGAAGCTAATTCAGACATTATCCTTACCTTGGCCATCTAGGTTTGAACGATGCTCAATTTTTGTGAAATTTTCCTAATTTTAGTTGATATTCTATTTGCTACTATATCTTTATTATTACTATAAAAATTTAAGCATCTTTAATGAATTGTAATTCCATTGTGATCTTACTTTACAAATCGATATTATTACTTTAAAAACACTAATATTGTTATTGGCTACTATTCTAGAATATTCTGTTTATAAATATATATATATATATATATAATTGTAGAGCCAGAAGAGGAGTTTGTCGAAAAGAATGTTCTTTGCTCAATTATTTTGTGCTTTATCAATGTAATCTCGTCTCTAAGCCCCGTGTAATCTATATTCATACCTTCAAACGTTTATATCATGTTGAAAATTATTATCTCCTTCGCTACTATGTGGAATTAAATAAATAATAATTGTGTCCATGTAAACTAATGTATATAAATACGATTGTACAGCTTTTGAGAATGAAATTGCCGAAAAGATCGACATCTTTGCTGAACTTCTTGTTCTTTTCCCTTTAATGTCCTGATGAGTATTTTCGACGAATTTAATAATATACATTATAAAAAATAAAATATAAACAATTCACAAATACGTACCTGTCATGCATGAATCTCTATTCAATGAAGATACATTAGTTCTCTCTGAACTTCGTTCCGATGAAATCGGCGAGACTGTTGAATGTCTTACTAACTTTGTACTTCTCACTGTTTGGATAGACTTGACAGGTTGTGCAGGCAGTGTGAATTTATTGATTAAATGGATGGAATTACCATTACTGCCGCCTTTTGAGATTACATAATGCTCACCACCACCACCACCACCTCCACCGACCCCAGCACAATCCTCGTCAGTATTTCCATTGTTTATATTGAGAATAGACGGTGATAAACACTTCGGCGATATCAGTGTTAAGGATACTCTATCACTTGTTGAACTCGATAACAGATCAACTACTTGATTTAGCGATGCTCTTGTCACATCTGTACCATTTATCTATCAAATAGAATTGTGGGAAATTTCAATAAAATTAAGTATATATATAAAATAACAAACGGATTGTTTGCAGAGTGAGTTGGTACTTCATAATAGCTACAAAACAAGAACCAATCGTCCAACAAATATGCAGGAGAAAGTGGTGATGGGTTGGACAGTCGCTGAGGAGGCCGCTGGGTGACATCGCGCGTCAGGCCATCACTCGAGTGGAACCCGAAATGGAAGCGGCGATTAGTGGGACGTCCAAGGGTGACATGGAGGAGATCGTGTGAAGAGGAGTTGAAACAGTATGGACTAACATGGATGCAGGTGAAAAGTACAGCAGAAGACAGAAACAAGTGGAGACGTGCATTTGAAGTCCTATGTTCCACTAGGAACCCAATGGAACAATAATAATATAATAATAGCTACTATTATGATATTACTGATGTAGACAATTCACTTAACCTGGAGTCTATTCAAATTAGGGAACGCTACATTTTAAATCTGGACTGTTATATAAATACCATGAAACAATACTATAATTAAATCGTCAGAGACTTCTAGCCACCAGATATATGACTTGGTTTTCACCGTGGAAATTTGCACAAAAATGCAACAATTCATGTTGCTCCACTAGGGTAAGGAAAAACAAAATTTAGGCAACCGCTTTTGATTGCACACTAATCTGTAACTAGTGTAATGTGTCTTGTCCTATCTTCGGTGCAGACTGAATTCTATCAGTCAAGCTTGCAATGTGGCCACCATGCTAGTTGGCTCGCCATTACGGTGCACTGTCAATTGTTGGTATTAGACGGTTGGAGGCAATCGGCAATTCAGTCTGCACCGAAGATAGGACTAGAAACATTTCACTAGTTACTGACTAGTGCACAGTCAAAAATATCAAATACAGTCCTGTCGCGAGCCTGAATAGCTCAGTGGTAACGTCTCTGATTGCTGCTAGCACTGGGTGACGCGGGTTCGAATCTCAGAAGGGACATCAGTTCCTTCAAGGATGCATATACGTCTTGATGATGAGTGCCAGCTAGCACGAAACCTAGGTCCAAGGCTTCTTGCCGATCGCCTTCAACCATCTAATGCCAACAATTAGGCAACTGCTGTTAAATGTAAATGTACAAAAAAGACAATGATCATATGCAGAACAATAAGAATTTGATGGATCTAGTGGGGTCCATAAAGAGCTGAGTGAATCCACGCCATTGAGAACAAACTCCAGCCCTTGGTTCTTAGCATCACGAAGACACCAGACAAAAAACCTCTACACCTCCATATGTGGCTCAAATTGACAGTCGACGATTTCATGGATTGATGACAGGTTCTGATTCCCCTCCCCTCCCCTCTAACTCTTTTCAAACCTAACCTTATGTCTACTGACATTGCTGGTTACTTAAAGTAGGCAATGGTTTGACATGTGACAAGATAAATCACCACATTAGACTAAGTAATACAACAAATAGGTCTTGTTATAGAATACACACCGGCACGGTGATACATTCAAACAATAGTACATACAACGTGCTACTGATTCGGAAAAAACCTACTGGCATGGAATTTGTCTAATATTTACCTTATTTTATGATTTTGCAAGCCTAAGAAAACTTTTGCTAAACTGTATTGATTTTATAATTCAAGTATTTTATCGGAACATATAATTATCTCTCTGTGTGAATGATAGTCTGGAGAATAGTTCTATCTAGAGATACTTAAGTCTAAAACAGAAAGAAGAGAGACTGAAGTATTTGATGGTTTGTCATTTGATTTTAGTAACATGCATATGTAACTGACTTAACTGATTGAATTGTCGAAGTAATACTTTCACTAATGGTGGATCAGTTTAAGTTGACACATCTTGGAAACGTAAACAACATAAGACTGGGGAAATGAAAACTACACATGTCCGGAGAGGCAAGATGCAGGCGTCCACTGAAAAAAAGGGAATACCACTGCTTCGAAAGCAAACCTCATAAGTGCACATGTGATCGTGTCACATCCCACACTATTTACCAATTTTCGTGTGTGTGGCCACCCATACATATAGGGAGGAGTAATCGCGCTTTGGATGTGAGGGTGGGAGAACATATCCCGAAATGGTTAGAAAGACAAATGAATTGTGGAAAACCAATAGATACAGGTGTCAGACTACCAACTTCGTCGATAGCTAAACACCTAATCGAGATGAATCATAAGCTTGATGTCATCTATAGAAATGGTCGAGGACGCTTATTGAAATGCGCTGAGGCTATAGCTATTCATAAACTTAAGCCCCTGCCCCCTGTCTATTGAAAAACAGTTTATTATTACTCTTAACCTACTACCTTGGTAATCCTCATTTGATTGGATTACCAAACGTTGTGATAATCATCCTTAAATCCTTTTTTTCACTTTGTTCAATTTAATTGCCCTTAATTTTTTCAAATATACCGACTTGACAAGTAAATGTGTGAGGGATCAGATTGTTCTTAATGTTTAGCACAAATACATCCCACATTTTTCAGATAATCTCCGTCTTCTAATAACACTATCCAAATTTATAAAAGAGACTAATTGTTTTGCTTTAAATTGGTTTGTGACTATATGCAACATTCTTTCATAGACAAATCACACTACAACTATAAGTTTCCAGACCGTAGATGTTACAAATTTCCTGGAATAATTCAAGCGCCCAGTCAGACTGAATCCTTATAAATTATTTAAAATAATCCCAGCGTGTTCAAAGATATTCAAAGATGTAGTTCCCAAAATGTCACAAAGTAATTGTACTGATAGCATGAAGTGTTCAGAATGTGAAGCTTGCTACATAGCGAAAGCAGTCGACACGTGAAGGTCAGAGTGAGTGAACGCAGACTGAACACAAAACGTCCACCTAGAAATGAAGTGGAGTTAAAGAGATCAGGTATATCAATGCATGCGATAGACAGCTGACATAAGATTGATTTCGACAGTGTCGAAATTCTAGGAAGAGGCTTTCATTCACATAAAGAAAGGTTGACCTCTGAGGCCTAATCGCTACACAGAAGTTCGTAAATCTTTTTTCTGTACTCAGAAATTATCCTCTTAATCTCTAGGTCCAATAAATTTCAGTCTGAGAAGTTGTCTCTCAGACTACACTTATCACCTTAGTAACACATTGAAGACATAAACTAGTTAGTGGGAATAACAAAATAAGTATTATTCAAAAAAAGTATACTACATTTCGGAGATAATAAAATTAATCTACTGGAAGCATAAAAGCAAAAAGATAAACGTCTCAATAGCCAAGTAATGTTTCAAACACTCTCTCTTAATGTATCAGTGATACCATGGTAACGTTTATACGCCCAATAATGTTGCCTACTGACTCATAAGATAAGCAGTTAGTTAACAAAAGAAAACAGTACAGTTAAGTAATTTACGTAAAGAATTGTTTAGTAATCACTCTCACCCTCCAACAAACCAATAAAAATGAATATGCAATTATAACGTCTATTATGGTAGTTAATGCTCAATCTGTTATCTCACAGCAAAGTTTGAGCATACATAAATTTGCTTTTTAATGTTGGCATTCAAGATACTTTTGTCTTTACTGAGCCATATCATTTGTAGCTGTGAACTTTAAAAGTATATATTTCTTCGCTCAATCCTTCTGCTTTTGAAAATCCTAGTTACTCTGCCACTGAATAAGTCAGTCTTATTCTCCAAGTTTGTCAGTAGTTCCGAGTGGAATATAGGGCTTCGACAACACACCACTGTCTTCTATTCGGTGTTGTCCTCTTCAGATGGCTAGCCACATAACTGTCCATAATCTCTCATCTTCTCCTCCCCATACGATCCTCTCCATGTCACCGTCGCACTCAGATTCCACTGAAGCGATGGCCTATATGGAGCGCCTCCTCAACGTATACATGATGCATCCATCTCCATTTTCTCCTAAATATTTGTTGAACAATCGGCTCGTGGTAAGTTGGTTTGTTTCCAGCCAGGCAGAGTTTCTTGTCGCTAATTCCTTCTGGCCAGCCGACTAGCCAATTGATCGTCAGTATAGAGCCAGAGAAGGAAGCAGCTATTGATAGAGGCCTGTCGGAAATCCTTTTCGTGACACGTCGAGCAAGTTTCTGACCTGTATAGAAGGACTGACTGACTGACTTCACATTATTGTTGAGAATCCGAATCTCGTTCTTTATACTGAGTCATTGCAGACTTGTTTCCGGTTGATGAAGGCGTTTCCGATTCTGCCTGGCTGGATTTAACATCATCCATTCTACTATCTGCGGTTGAAACCATGTTTCTTGGATTAGGGAAGGAGGTAACCTCTTTCAAATCTCTCCCGTTGATGGTGACTGGTGCTGGTTGTTGTTGCCGGTCCCAAGCCCAGGTAAAGAGGGAGTTTTGGGTCTGGAGGCTGGCAACCCTACTACTATTGATCTACTAGTTTGACTGACCTATGTGGTTAACTTAACTACTCACAGTCATTGCAAGGTATTTTGTAAATTATATTATCTTGTTCAATTGGGTCCACCGACAGGGTCCTTTATCCTACAGAGCTTGTCTCTGAGTGAGTTTGTAGGTTTTAATGCCAACCTGATTCCTTGATATGATTATGATAGGTAATAAATTGTGCTCGAAACATGGTCCCATCAGTAAATATTACTCTATAACGCTGTGTGATTTAATCAAAATAAAATTTTATCCATAATGGAGTAAAGTGACATTAATGGTACAATTAAAACAGTAATTTTTACGGCTAAAATTTGATATTGTTAGCAACAAAATCATCTGTCATATTGACATCTTTTCAACTACGCTTCTCTCTAAAGTATGATGATTTGGAAATTTATCTATCTGAGAATTTTTCTTTATTCGATCGACAATAGGCATTTAAGCTAAGCGCATGGAACTGCACTTAAAAGAGAGAAGTCAATCTAGATTTCATGAATAGTTTTAGTCATTTCTAGCAGAAAAATTTATACTCCGTCGTCTGCCAATCTCATTGAATTTGCTAAAATAAGTCGCTGTTCACTAATACGACATGACTAACTCCTTTGATTTCACTTTGAAAGCTTAAGAAAGAATGTAATGATAATTAATAGGTAGCTTAAATTTTATCCCATCTAACAGTATAATATAAAGCAATTAGTCCCTTTGATAAATTTGCATAAGGCATTAGGAAGACAAATTTCGCGAGATGATATCATTTCGTAGTTTCTGTGGACTCTACCTCAAACTGTATCTACAAGTTCACCTGCAGCTGCGGTGACAGCTATATAGGTAGAACCAACAGAATATTCCAATGTCGTCGAAAAGAACATGTTCCAAAATGGCTACTAAATCATATAGAAAATCCCAACGCGATTAATCTGAATAGAAATCCAGCATCATCCATTGCAAAACACTTATTAATGTCAGGTCACAAAATCAATATTAATGACTGTTTCACAATTATTTCACATAACTCTAATTCAAGGTTACTGAAGGTGATGGAAGCACTTTGGATTAATCACATACAGCCTAAACTGTGTGTACAAAAAACAATAGACTTCAATCTTCGCCTACCATGAACTGACTACTTGACCTATCTAAATATGATTGGTCATTAGTATGTACTTTTTTTAAATTTAACTAAGTAATTGTCATGAACTTTATTTTATTATTGTTAACCATGTTAGTTGTAAAGCGGTTGTAAAGAAATTACCAAATGATATCATCTCGCGAAATTTGTCTTCTTAATGCCTTATTCAAATAATATAAAGCATTTAATTGATGGCCGGAAAGAATCACCGACAAGAAACTATGGGAACAAACAAACAAAACAAGAACCAATCGCTCAACAAATATGCAGGAGAAAGTGGAGATGGATTGGACACTCGCTGAGGAGGCCACTGGGTGACATCGCGCGTTAAGCCATCATTCGAGTGGAACCCGAAAGGGAAGCGGCGAGTGGGACGTCCAAGTGTGGGTGACATGGAGGAGATCGTGTGAAGAGGAGTTGAAACAGTATGGACTAACATGGATGCAGGTGAAAAGTACAGCAGAAGACAGAAGCAAGTGGAGACGTGTAGTTGAAGCCCTATGTTCCACTAGGAACCCAAGGGAACAATAATAATAATAATTTAATTGAGTCAATAGAACTGTATGTAACTGTGGATATTCTTCAAAAGTCGAAAGAAATAACCCGCATTCATTTCTCGAACAGTTAAACCCAACAAATGTTGCTCTACACATCGTTATCAGAATATATTCTATGTATTATAAGCATAGATCTTAACTACAATTGCTACGTTATGAGAAAATCCCTGAATTCATTTTCTCTCAGTACAGGCTACCGAAATTCTCTAAGCTCTATGCTCCGAGTGGAACATATGGCTTCAACAACGCATCTCCACTTTGTTCCATTCGGTGCTGTCCTCTTCAAGTGGTTAGCCCCACAATAGCCCATAATCTTTCATCTCCTCCTCCCCACACGATCACTTCTAATACATTTCAAATTGTTCTAATTTTCTAATTACTACAATGAGTCACACACAGTCTATACTCGCTCAAAATTTCACACACCTTTCTATCTACCAATAGGAATTTTTCAAAGGAAATCAAGGAAAAGCATTGTGGAGTAGCGTTGAAGCAAACTTTGGATGGAACACAATTCCTTCAAATGATATATATGTATCGATTGTTGTATTATTTGAAGATCCCACACAAACGGTAAATACCTCGTAATAGAACTCGCTCAGAATTATTATGTATTGTGTATAAACGCATTTTTCCGAATAAAGCTTTTATTATTATTATTTCTACTACTATCGCTTACCTTTAAAACAAAGTCTCCAACTTTCACGCCAGCTTTTTCAGCAGGACTGCCGATTACCACACGTTTCACAGTTTGTAGACTTGGTCTGTTCATAGTCGGAGTAAATTCAGCAATGACTGAGGCATCTAACAACACAAAAAAATATATTAGTTATGTTGCATTTTTGTTTTATTTTATTTATTGGAAGGCAGAGAAAAACAGAAGTGGAGATGCGGAGTTCAATTGTCGCCAATATACATTTAAATAAAGCGTTGTCATAGTAATAAACTGAGTTATATTTCAAGTTGAAAATAAGACAAACTTGGAGTAAGGAAAGGAGGCACAAAAAACAATAGTTTTTTTTTTCACTAAAATAAAAATTCTACATTGTCGCTTTTTTGTTTGTGAACCACTAAAAGAAAAGGTTAGGATGCTAAAAGTAACTCAGGAAGAATTAAGAGTCCTCTTCTTTACTATACTATGAGAAATTTATATAATACGTGTCTGTCTCTTGTGTTTATTTATGTTCAGTTTCCATTGTCATCCTTTTATCTAAGTTAGTTACTTAAGAATGTGCGAAATTCGCCCTGCTTGTGTGTGTGAGTGTGTGTGGTCTCAGAAATGATCTCCACCTTAATTATATTGATCGTACCTCATCAACTAGATACACATCTACCGCTGTGACCTATGCAGAGTTTATTCCCACATCTAGGCTTCTCAGACCATTGCCTGTTACGCTGACATGATCGTGACAGGACATAAGCAGATATGCATGTGTGTGAATAATCACTGTCTGTCATGACATATTCCTCATTAGTGTCAACAGAGATCAAACATTTCGGTCTAACACGATAAACCAACCGGAAATACAATCTTAACTTAAACAAGTGATAACTGATACGCGTTTCACAAGGAGTGGCTGTCATGGACTAATATCCAATATCCAACATTGTTTTTACGAGCTAGTATAAACCAATTTGATTTCTTTGTGTTCGCCTCTTGATTGTGATGTATAGGTTCCTGATCCTCGGTAATCTTCTGCGTAGTTCGTCTCGCCACTCGACTATCGTAGCTTTGGTTGACTCCACCCCTGGTTGGCCACCCCTCCGCACACCTCTTGAAATGTTCCCATATGACCGGGCGTCTTACATAGCCTCTCCTGAGGAAGTCCTACTTACTCACTGCCTTCACGTGGCGGAGGTGTTTTCACCAAAGTGAGAGGGCGAAAGCGGATGCCCGGCGCTCTTCACCGGGTTGACTGTCCATTGGATGACAGTCTAGGGGAGATGGCCAAACCCTGATTCCAAACCTCTAACGACTGGCGTATGAAGCTCACTGGAGCTCACCGGCAGACGTATGGACAAGGGGCTTGTTGGATGTCCTGGATGTCTGGCCCCATTCAAAAAGGCGTATAAACCGAACTCCGGTCACCGGCTGCCAATGGATAGTGGATTCCCTACTCCACTCCTACTGCCTTGTAGGTCACACTTGGTTGTGTAAAGGCTAGAGCTGCACTCTCAAACAAAAGGCCGAGCGATTCTGGGGACATCACTCGTACCAAATTCCCATGAAACTTCATGAACTCTCTTACAATCAGATGGCCGCGCCTGGGCAGCGATGATTCGAGATGTTTATGAAGCCGGCTCATCCTCCCGTAGGAGATAGCCGAAGTAAAGTAAGTAAGTTGACTCCAAAAAGAGTAGTGCAGGGATTAATTATATGTGGTTTGTAGTATGAGGTGTGTTAAGACTGTTACCACTGTGAATGGAGTTGATCCTTTCACCAGTTAGTCCTCCGGTATCGTCGCCAAAAGAAAAGAGATAATAATAATTAGTGAAGTTATTCAGACTAATAGACAGAAAAAGAATAAGAAAACGTAACAACAGTCAGCTGATTAAATTTGAAGAATAATATGAATTATATATATATATATATATATATATATACTGGTAATAATGATAATAATAATAGGTGTAGTTAAATCTGTCAGGAGAGTAAGACGGAAGAGAATGTAAAGAAGTAAAACGACAAGTTTAATTGTCTATCCCTGAATGGTGTATGCGATTTTAAGGGGAAAGGCCATTTGGATGCAGTCCTTGTGTCGCTGCATGGTTGTCTAGGCTTCGCTTAAAGGCATCCACAGACGATGTCATAGTTACATCTGCCGGTAAGGAATTCCAGGGACGGCAAACCCGCAGTGAAAGAAAGTGGGAGCACATCCGGATCCTTGCCCTCTGGTGAGCTATCCTTCTAGGATTTCCACGAGGAAGCCTATACCTACTCAATGGCAGAACACCTTTGTTTGGGGTATTCTGGTTATTTGTTATTTTGTAGGCAGGTAAATAAGTGTGAATAGGCCTAATTTCTTCAGCCTTTCATCATATGGTTTATTTCGGAGACCAACCACTCCTTTTGTTGCCCGTCGTTGGACTCTTTCCAAGAGGTTGGCGTCTCTTCTAAGCAGTGTGGGTGCAATAATATTATGCACTTCAAGGTGTGGTCTGACGTATGTTTTGTACAACCTTAGAAAGAGCTAAGGAGTGAGTGCACCTAACTGTCTATGTGTAAAGTGTATGACCGCATATGCCCTCGCTACATCCCCCGTGTAATTTACGCTTGTGTCCATTTTTCCCGTTAGAACTAGACCTAAGTCACGTTCCGACGTTGAGCAGGACAAGCTTTCATTGCACAGGGTGTAACTTGCATTCTGCAGTCTACAGGCGCGTAACTTCACTACTTTGCACTTTTTCAGGTTGAAAGTCATGCCACTGGCCACCACTCAGTCTTCCAGAAGGTTTAGATCTTCCTGTAGCCTATCTGAGTCCTCCAGGCACTTTATCGCCCTCCATATCTTCACCTCGTCAGTGTATAGAAGAGTCGGGTAGCTTAGATGGCATGGTAGATCATTGATAAAAATCAAAAACATCAGTAGTCCTAGGATAGAACCCTGTGACACTCCTGATGACGAGCTGTGCCAAGATGAATAAGGTTCTGTTGTGTTTTGTATGCTTCAAAATTCATTAAAAAAAGAGGCAAAAATATTTATTACAAACTGCTTTTCTCATCCGTCAGATAGTACAACTGAGGAAAACTGTTTATTTACTCTTTTGTAGCCTAGATTTAACTCAAGATTAGAGTTAACGAGGCTTTCAAAGTCATCTGTCGCACACCCACTAATCTTAACTTCACCTTAAGAGTTCGTCTACTACATACATATCGCTGAGGCTGGCTGTTTGGGTCCACATGAAGAAAATTAACTTATGTATCGAAAAGAAGAACTTGGTTCAGACACTGTCCTTACCTTGACCACCAAGGTTTTAATCATCTTCAATTTGTTGTGGAAATTCCCTTAATTTTATTTCACATTCTATTTGCTATTACACTTTTATACTTATTATGACTTATGCATCTTTCGTGATCTGTGCTGATTCCATTGTGATCTTAATTAACAAATCGATAGTATTTAAAAAGACACCAATAGTGGTAATGACGACTATTCTAGAATATTCTATATATATATATATATATATATATATATATATACAATAGTAGAGACAGAAGAGAAAATTATTGAACAAGACATTATTTGCTCTATTTTTTTTAATCTATTCAGATGTCTGAATGAATATTTTCACTGTATTTACTAATTGTTAATTAGAACAAGCAAATTCTACACATATAAGACAAAAGTAGCCATATATATGCAGTTAGAAGCCGTCTAAACGGAGAAATGTTTGATCTGGAATTTGGGTTTGCCATACATTAATAATTAAGTTTTGTTTTTATTTTTAGCAGACAAAAAATTTCAACCCCCTCAAAGGTTGCCAGTGATCTGTTAAAAGCCGATAAGACACCTGAAAACCAATAGATAAAGTATAAAAAAATATTTGCTAAAATGCACAGTATGTAGCGCAGCACAGTCCTCATACTCAACTTAATCTATTGATCGTATAGGTGATATAGTCGGCTTCCAATCCAGTGCAAAATTACTTCTAGTTACAGATACAGTTACATCTCATAAGTGTTGTATAAAAATTGTATGATACTGATGACAAGAATAAAAACAGTTTGTTCTTTATCGACTAACCGGATAACCTGAAGGTATTCGAAGAACATACTGTATAAACTAACAGTAAACCAAGAGATCTTATGTCTTGTCGTACCCAGAACATTTGATATGCATCTCTGGCTCAAAGGCGGCATACTTAAAAACCCTTGAACTGCAACCAAAAATCAAAACAGAATACTTCCTGAAAGACAGTAACGGGACAGTAAGCTTTTAAGTTGAAGGGTTGTGATTAGCTGTTCAGCCTAGTGTTCTTTTCAATGCGTTTCACACTACATAACTCCAAAATCCTTCTTTAACACATCATATTGTTTGATTGGATGGAGGATTTCATCATGAGCTGACATCAGTTAGAGAACCATCTGAAAACCTGCAGAGAGTACTGGACAGCTGTCTCGTACTAGTTTGGGAGTGTATCGTCATCAGTACACACTCAACGGGGTTCGAACCCAAGACTTTCTGGTTATAAGGCGAGCTCGTAGACCATTGAACCACTGGGATCCGATCCAAAGGCCCGTGACCAGTAGGGTACAGCAGGTTGAAGATGAGGCAGAAGACATTTCGAAATGGTCGCGCCATGTCATGACATGGCAGAAGTTAGAATTCATGGGCTGGCCATTGGATCGGATCGAAGTGGCTCAGTCGTCTATGAGCTCACCTTGTAACTAGAAGGCCGTGTGTTCGAAACCCACAGTGGGGATGCATACCACTGAATTGTCCCAAACTAGGCTGACGAACTCCCTGCAGGTTATCGAGTGGTTCTCTAACTGATGTCAGCTCATGATGAAATCTTCCATCCAATCAAACAAAATCTCTACAAAATCAATACTTGAAAACATCATATTGTGTTCCAAACGCCCTTCCAACTCTAAAATTTCTTCTGTATTATAATTATTTCCTTGGGTACCAAGTGGAACATAGGGCTTCAAATACATATCTCCACTTTGTTCTATTCTCCCCAAACGATCTCCTCCATGTCATCCTAGCACCAACGTCCCACTCGTCCGTCGTTTCCTATTGGGATTCCACTCAAGAGATGACCTGCATTGCGCACAATGTCATTCGACAGTTTCTCCTACATATTTGTTGGACAATCGGCTCGTGGTTAGTTGGTTTGTTTCCAGCTAGCCAGCCTGAGTTTCCTGTTGCTAATTCCTTCTGGCCAGCCAGTCAGTCATTTGATCTTCAGTATGGAGCCGGCGAAGTCAGCTGTTGGAAATCCTTTTCGTGACACGCCTGTATACCCATCTCATATTTATCTATCTTAAAATAAATTTCAGAACACTGTGCTTATCACTCTGGATAGTTTCTATTCAAGTGTCATTAACAACAATGGCATTCATAGTTTCAGTTAAATAATATAGTTGAGTCATTTTATTTATATCTTGAACTAAGAATATATATGTATATATTCACCAGTATCTCAGTCAAAAAAAATTCATTTATACGCTGAATGTAGTTAAAGATGCGGGCGGAAATATTTACTCTTAAATTGTTAATGTTATTTCATCTTCAATTTAATGTTATGTCAGAATTTATTCAGAGCAAACTGTTGTCGAAAAATGCAGTTTATGTACGAAATTTTCCAGTTGACGATGAGTGTTGTTTTTGATTGCACACTAGTCAGTAACTAGTGTAATGTGTCTAGTCCTATCTTCGGCGCAGACTGAATTCTATCAGTCATGTTTGCAATGTGGCCATCATGCTAGGTGGCTCGCCATTACGGTGCACTGTGAATTGTTGGTATTAGATGGTCGGAGGCAATCGGCCTCAGGAAGCCTTGGACCTAGGTTTCGTGCTAGTTGGCACTCATCAGTCAGCAAGGCGTATCTGCAACCTTGAAGGAACTGATGTCCCTTCTGAGATTTGAACCTGCGTCACCCAGTGCTGCAGTCAGAGACTGATAGAATTCAGTCTGCACCGAAGATAGGACTAGACACATTACAGTAGTTACTGACTAGTGTGCAATCAAAAATATCCAATACAGTCCTACAGGAGGTCAGTCGCGAGCCTGAATAGCTCAGTTTTAACGTCTCTGATTGTTGGTAGCACTGAGTGACGCGGGATCGAATCTCAGAAGGGACATGAGTTCCTTCAAGGTTGCAGATACGCCTTGCTGATGAGTGCCAACTAGTGCCAACCTAGGTCCAAGGCTTCCTGTGGCCGATTGCCTCCAACCATCTAATACCAACGATGAGTGTTGTTAGTGATCAGCTGACTTGACAAGGTAATTTGGTATAAATGCCAGCATCTAGAGTGTTGGCGATTTCATTCACTTTGCCTTTACACTATTCCTAACTGAAAAAAATGTGGTTAAAATTAGCCTGAAGAGTCGCGAATTAGGACAAAACAACTGCCCAGTAACTCCTTGGTTGCCAATGATTCTTTAACTGAAGTCAGTTGCTAGGCAAAATTGAAATTAGCCTAAATTATCCTTTATAACAAAACAGTCGACCATTATAAGTTTGGTAGATTATGCTACTGAATAGTTTTAAAATGCCGCATGAATCTGCTCTTTATACGGGTTCGGATTACAGTTTTACTTCTGCTCTTAGATGATCAGATCGATTTCGGTACTGGAAAATAACGAAACGAAAGATTTAAAGCGTCAAAGGTAGTTCATCCAATAGTGTCGATTTACGCTACTTTACAAAACACTTATGGAAAAGGAGGCCTATTAGTCTGAAGATTGTCGTCGTTCCGTCTTTCAGTTGAAGTGATCTATCTTAATAGGATATGTTAATGACCGGAAGTTGAACAGAAATCTTTGCCAGAAGATTACTGGTTTAAAAGGTGCCAGCATCACATGATTCACTGTAACTGAGGATACTGAACTATTCAACTTACTGGAAGGCAGTGATAGAATCCTTAGCATTTATAATATTGTGCAAATTAGACAGACTAACAACTGCTTCATGTGTATGATACCGAATACAATTTCTATCCTGTCAAGATGTATTTTAATTAGCAATTTGTATACATTACTTGATTTTGTGAATGAAACAATCCTTATATATGTCCAAGCCAAGTTTACTTTTAACAGTTTGAAAAAATTTGGGCATTGCATACATGATATTCATTATAATAAAGGTTTTCTTGTATTTCCCAATGAATGAATGAAAAACAAAACGATCTTGTCGTTTTTACTGACGTTTCGCTATTTAATGCTGCTGCGAGTAGCTTTATCAAAGTAGGAATATTCAACCAGAATTGACAAAATCTCAGCTTGTATGTATCAACTTAATCATCCTTCGTCAGCATGGGTTCATTTTTGCGTTGTCAAATTGGCCAATTGGTAAAGATAACAAAACTAGGTGTAGATTGTTGGATTTGATAAGTCTGTAAAATTATAAAAGCAGTGTGTGTTTACATAGTGAACTTGCACATCACATTCGTGTTGATTTTGTCACTTCATTGGGGAGGGAGGTGTTGTTAACCAGGTCAGATTCCGTTTTAGTCCATCATTCCTATTCAGGCAATTCGCATTCCACTTGATATGAAGTGCTTCTGATATTAGACGTTCTTTGTGATTTCTGAAGTTTTTCTGGATTATTTCAATATTGTGAAAATCGATTTTGTGGCCTGATTCTTTGCGTGTAGATGAGCTGTGGCTGATGATTTTTCAAGCTTTTCTAGTTCACTCACTGGATTTCTCGGTGATCGAACAAATGCTCTCGGGTGTTCATTTCTTCAGATTTTGATTTCTCTCTAGCGATGTTTGTCCGATGTATATCGCATCACATTCCAAGCATTTTATTATATAGACACAATTAAATGGAGAATCTTTAAGGATCTGGTCTTTTATATGGACAAGGTTGTTTCGTAGTGTGTCTGATGTTTTGAAGAAAACTCTAATGTCGACCTGATTGAGTACTCTTCTAATATCATCTGACGTCTCTGCCCTAAAGATTCTCTGTCTAATTGTGTCTATAAAATAAAATACTTGGAATGTGATGCGATATACATCGGACAAACATCGCTAGAGAGAAATCAAAATCAGAAGAAATGAACACCGTAGAGCATCTGTTCGACCACCGAGAAATAAATCCAGTTGAACTAGAAAAGCTTGAAAAATCATCAGCTAAAACTGATTTTGACAATATTGATATAATCCATAAAAAGCATTTCAGAAATCAGAAAGAATATCTCATATCATCAGAAGCACTTCATATCAAGTGAAATCCAAATTGTCTGATTAGGAATGATGAATTAAACAGAATCTGTCCTGATTACGACACCTCCCTCCTCTACCCCATGAAGTGACAAAATCAACACGAATGTAATAAGCAATTTCAATATATACACACACGCTGCTTTCGTAATTTTACACTTATCAAATCCAACAGTCATCTACACCTGGTTTTGTTATCTTTACCAATTGAACAACTTGACAACGAAAAATGACCCCAGACTGACGAACGGTGATCAAGTTAGTAAACTTTGTTTTGATATTATAACAGACGTACTATTACCTTTGTTATTTGATTTAGTGATCTTCATTGTTATTTTAACTTTCAATATGTCCTTTTAACTCAACCTAAGTCTATTTTCTCACCCCTTAACTCTTTGTTATAAATATGCTGAGATTTTGTAAATTCTGGTTTATTAATACTTTGATAAAGCTATTAGCATTAAATAACGAAACGCCAGTAAAAACAATATTGTTTTGTTTTTCATTCATTGGGAAATACAAAAACCTTTATTATAATGAAACAATTCTTACTCATCAAGGGACTACAATGTGAAATACTCAGTACCAACGAAAAGACTCTTTCATATAATATAGTTGGCTAATTTTAAATGACATTAGAACAGATGACTTGTATCACTTACTTTTAACTGTACGAATCGATAAACCAAATGAAGAACGTTGTTCATTCTTGTCTGAACCATTAGAAGAATATGTATACCTCTCAAGGATAACTGTACGTACAGCATCAGATGAATTAGCGGCACACTTTAAATCTAAATACTCATGCATAGTAGATGATCTTGGTAAATGTCGAGAATCACGTACATTTATATGCGCCATCTTTCCGTTATGCGATTGTCCTTTAATCTTTTGCGCTAAACAATATTTATCATCACTTGAATCTCTTGCTTGTTGACTGAACGGACGATCGGAATTACGATTGATATTCTTTTGACTATACAAATAAATTAGATTAATTTAACATATAAGAAAGTAGAAAGGAGGATAGACAAGTACATTTTTCCAATATATAATGTTCAAATTATAATAAAAGGAAAATTTCTCCATGTAAATACTAATATTATGTAGTAGTCGGTGGCGCAGAGGTAGAATACTCTCCAGCCACTCAGGTGGTCTAGGGTTCGAACCCCGGCCACCGATGCTCTCCCAAACCTCGCTTTTTTATTCCTTTACGTTCCCAGTGGAACACAGCGCTTCAGGTTAGAGACTTGAAGTTTCTGTAACAGGGGTGATTATTTTTACAGGATGGGATTGCTAGCCTGATGCCCCACCTTCCCTCTTTATCAGCTTTTATTTCTGGCTTAGCCAGGTAAAGAAGTGTGTCGGTGGCCGTGGATCGAACCCCGGACAACCTGCGCAGTCGGCCAAAACTCTACCGCAGCGCCACCGACGCACACCCAAACCTCGCTTAGCTGGTCATTATCCAGGTAAAGAGGGAAGGTTGTGCGTGAGACTAGCAACTCCAGTCAGTAAAACTGAATCCGCTGCTGCCGAAACTTCATAGCTATAGCTTGAAGCCCTATGTTCCACTGAGAACGCATAGGAATAAAATAAAAGTAATAATAATAACAATAAGAAGAAGACGATCAAGGCTGAAACCGTTGCTTCACATGAAACTAAAATCACACCAGTGACGTTCTTCCGGTTATCCAACTGGTATATTCAAAACTGAGATCTGTGAGCTGGTTATTAACCAGATTTGATTTTCACTTCAATATTTAATGGTTGAAACTTGATACTTAATGATTAGAGAGCATTTGAGTTTTCGTCTGCTACGTGTGACACTAACAGCTCTGTACCTCTTTCTTGTACTATATCTAACCGTAGTGAACAGAGTGAAGCTTAACTAAATTATTACTTGAAGAAAGGATGACAATGAACGTTAGGCTACACTAAGTACTTTCAAAATATTAACTTTTGATGTCAGCAATACATACAGTTCATTTTCTTGAAGGGTCCGTTTTTAAAGTTATGAGAACAATCCATAAAGAGATAGAGTTTATCTTACTGCCATTATTATTATTTATTATTGTCTCCTTCACTTCCTAGAGGAACATAGGGTTTCAGCCACACGTCTCCATTGCGTTCAGTTCTCCACTAACGTTTTCACCTGGCTACACGTCTGTCCCCATGCTTTCATCTCCTATTAGCATCACCTCCTCCTCCATGTCAATCTCGCACTGACGATTAACTCGCCGCTTACCTTTCGGGTTCCACTCGAGTAATGGCTTGGCATGTGATGTCACTCACTTGATGGTTTGTTTTCTCAGAGTATGACCAATCCACCTCCATTTCTTCCTGCATATTGGCTGCACAATTGCATCCCTCTGGGTTGGTACGCTCCCAGACATCCTACCTTGTTTCTAATCTTTTTTGGTCATCTGATCTTGCGTAGTAGTATCGAGCGAAGACAGCTGTTGATGAAAGTCTGTACTTTATTATAAGTGCCCTACGTGACGCGGCGTGGTGCCAAGTCTCTGATCCGTAGAGTAGCACTGACTTCACATTGAAGTTGAAAATCCGGATCTTATTTTTCATGCGGAGTGCTGTTGATCTCCACACAGACTTGAGAGTAGTGATAGTTTGCCTTGCTTTCCCGATCCTTGTTTTTATATCCTCAACAGTTCCGTCCTAAACCTAACTCACTTCAAAGACTTAGGGATTGACCTGCTACCAGAGAATATTCTCGTTGACTTAGAATATGCAGATGATATAATGCTTCCAAGTGAAGACGCTGACAAAATGCAGCAGAGTCTTCTGAACACCTTGAGCTGCAGTCTTCGAATTGTTAGCATAAGATTCGCTCCCCCCAAGTGTAAGATGAGGCTACAGGACTGGACTGGACTATACTGACTCCTAGCTCAGAAATAGGGAGTGGAGTAGTAGGGCATGTTGACCACTTCACTTGTTTGGGAATTCACATGAGCCATTGTCAACGGTTCGTTTCGCATATGCCAGTTAACGCCGTCTCTAGCATAGATGTGATATCCGGCTGGCTGTCAACCAAAGGGCATGTGTACTGCTCAGAAGTCCGCTGCATCCACCTTTATGGCTGTGAGAACTGGCCATTGAGAGCGGAAGACATGAAAAGACCAGCTGTCTTTGATCATAGGTGTCTGCATTCTATCTCCCGTGTGTGTTAGGTGGTAGAATACGGTGAACAATATTGAAGTGAGACATCGATCGAGTGCTAGGTAGGTGAGAGGGGAAACCAATCGACGAGGCTGTGACGCTGCATCGACTGAGATGGTTAGGACATGTGTTACGTATGCCTAGTCATCGACTTCCTCAACGGATGGGCAATGTTAGCTGACATAATGTCAGGTTGGTAAAGAGTCAGTGGTGGTCAAACGAAAACATGGCTTCATCAGTCAATGAAATCCACAACAGTTAGTTTAAGCCACGTAGGAAGGTGTAGACTTCCTGACTGGTTGGGGTCTATGAACTAGCTTACCTTGTAACTAGAAGGTTCTAGGTTCGACCTCTGTCAGTGGGTGCATAATGCTGAAGAGTCAGACCTAAACTAGGACAGTGGAAACAGCTATCCAGTGCTCCCTGCAGGTTTTCCTATGGTCTTCTAACCGATGTCAATTCATGATGAAATCCTGTGACCAATCAATCAAATCCCTACAAACCAATACTCGAAAAAGATCCTAATAAAAAGAAACAGCTCTACTGGCGAAGATATTCTTTTGCCAATTTTCAAGTTGAAGCCTTCAACTGATGTTTAGAGTAAGTTAAACCATAGATAAAAATCACGCATATTAAATGCATAAAAGATAGAATGTTCTTGCAGCCATTTCGGTTTGAATTCCAGTTACTGTAGCCGTTAGCTTATAGGTGATTTAAATACTTACTATACACTGAGCTTGATAATTCTTCACTCCCTGGAAAAATATACACCAGAAATCGACTTGGTGGATGTATCCAGAACTTTGAATTCTGCAAGAAACACTAGTGACTTTATCCTGTGTTACAAAAGTGTTACTTTTTATAGTATCCAAGGTGTAAGGCCAAAGGCTTTTAAACGTAACTGCAGTGGAAATGGTTGACGATTAAAGGTGAAAAGAAAAATGTAGGTCGTAGAGGATTCAAACTAATCCCATTAGGCACCTATTATAAGTGTATTTTTTTAATCATAGTGTCTTAATAGATGTTGGTTCAGTGGGGGGGGGGGGCGGGGCGACATTGACGTGCCACGGCCAACGTACTCCATTATCTCGCTTAGTTGGCAGTCAGTCCGATAGCAACCACATCCTGTGAACAAACACCGCTACTACTAATGAAACTGTAAAGCTCAGAGGCTGGCGCCTTATGTTTCACGGGAAATACAAAGGAATAAAATAATAATACACAGGAACAGCCTTAGCTGACAATCAAAGGTTTGTCTGAATTTCTTGTTTCATAGGGAGTCGGAAACGTCATTTGATTCAAATAAGACAAAATAATATATTTGAATAAGGCATTAAGAAGACAAATTTCGTGAACTAGAATCGAACAACAAACTCGGTTTCCTGGATATTACTATGCCTGGGAACGATAACGGAACCATTCAACGATCTATTTTTTGTGAACAGACATGGAGTGGACAATATCATTTTACCAGTTTTGTTCCTATCCAGTATAAATGTTCCCTGGTGAAATGTTTGTTCTAAAGGGCCCGAAAAATATGCACGAGTGACACATTGATGGATGAGTTTCGACATATACATTCAGTTTTATTAGCTAATGGTTATCTGGAGAACTTTATCACTTGTCACAGTAAAGAAAAACCACATCTCGAAAAGACAGCTTCTGTACCAAAAGAAGGCTATCTTTATTAACCTACCATTCAAGGGTGACCAGACTATGCAGTTGACAGCTCAAAGGCTTCGGTTAGCCATCAAACGCACATTCTACACCGCATCTCTTTTTCTCATTTGCCGAACATTTTCGATCCCTGTACCTACGATTAAAGGACGAAATTCTGTCGGCTATACTTCAAACTGTATCTACAAGTTCACCTGCAGTTGCGGTAACACCTATATAAGTAGGACCAACAGAATACTCCAATATCTTCGAAAAGAACATGTTCCAAAATGGCTACTAAATCATATAGAAAATCCCAACGCGATTAATCTGAATAGAAATCCAGCATCATCCATTGCAAAACGCTTATTAATGTCAGGTCACAAAATCAATATTGATGACTGTTTCACAATTATTTCACATAACTCTAATTCAAGGTTGGTTATTGAAGGTGATGGAAGCACTTTGGATTAATCACAGACAGCCTGAACTGTGTGCACAAAAAACAATAGACTTCAATCTTCGCCCACCATGGACTACATGACCTTTTAAAAATGATTGGTCATTAGTATGTACTTTTGTTTTTTTTATTTAACTGAGTAATTGTCATGATCTTTATTTTATTATTGTTAACCATGTTAGTTGTAAAGTGGTTGTAAAGAAACTACGAAATGATATCATCTCGCGAAATTTGTCTTCGTAATGCCTTATTCAAATTTATCAAACGGACTAATTGTTTTAAAATAATATATAACACAAATTAGGGGAGGGGGATTATAATTACCTGAAATTTTCGTATGAAGATAAAACATCCTCCTGGTATTTACTCTTAGCAGCGTCTTGAGTGTTAGTCTCATTACTGTCATTCTTATCTATCGAATAATCTGTTCGTCGTCTATTCAAAGAGCCGAAATTGCTTGGTCGACATGAAGAATTACTGATACCGCTATCTGTTTGACTACCTTCACGTTGAAATCCTTTAGCTGCAGATGTAATAAAGTCATACAACATGTCTGTTTGCTGTCCCCTGGATATTGTTCGTTCTCTTACCGACTTATTGCTTATACTACTTGAAAATGCAGGACATTGTTGACGTTGTTGTTGTTGGTGGTGTTGTTGTTGTTGGTCTTGTTGTTGATGATGACTTGGACTACGACTGTCCGCTTTAGATTTGGTTGCAGATGTTTCTAAAATAAGTGGAAATTCGAGAAGAAGCATGGAGTTAATATTTATCTGCAGATGCTGTATCGTCATATCAACTTTGACAGATAGATGACCACTGAAAGACCATTACACTCTGCTAAGAACACAATCTGCACCACAGATCTCTTTGTAAAATTATATCGACACACAGTAATTTTATTGGTGCAACGTTTGTTTAAATGAAATCTGGTGTAAATCAAATTTACAACTTAAAAATTAGTTTGAAATTTGCAGTGTACGATGTTCAATTTATGGAATTTTACTGCAGTTTCCTTTGGGTGGGTGGTTTGAACTGATTCGGCCCTATGAGCTGAGTCAATCCGGATATACCAAATGATGAGCTTGGCCCCAAACGAGCGAAATGGCCACCTGGTGTCTAGATCATATCGATCTGGCTAGCCAGCAAGCACCAACCAATCAGTAGTACATAATTTTAAGCGTTCATGTTATAGTCAAGTATTACGGCGTACCCCAAATATTCATCAACCTTATTCAACAGCTGTACTACAACGGCACATGTCAAGTGATCCACAACGGAAAACTCAGCGTGGCTTTTGGAGTAAACACAGGAGTCAGACAAGAGTGCTTATTATCACCAATGATATTCCTAATTGTGGTGGACTGGATTATACGTCAGACAGTAGGAAACGAGAAGACAGGGATATCCTGGACCGACGTGAAGAACCTAGAAGACATGGATTTCGCGGATGATTTATGTCTGATGTCACACAAAATCGAAGACTTACAAGCGAAAACCGACAAACTGATCGAAGAAGCAGCCAGTGAAGACAGGACTCCAGGTGAACATAGACAAGGTGGAGGTTATGAAAATAACCAACCAACCAACAACAACAGCAACAACATCCAGCACCAATCACCATCAACGGGAGGGATTTCAAAGAGGTTACTTCTTTCACTGATCTAGGTAGGGAGCATTGTCTCAACTACAGGAATTCGGAACGGACGAGGATGTCAAATCGAGAATCGGGAAGGCGAGAAACACATTCATCAACCTGAAACCAATCTGGAAATCTTCGTCACTTCTCAACATCAACAACAAAATTCGGATTTTCAATACAAACGTCAAGTCAGTCAGTTCTTCTATACGGATCAGAAACTTGGCCAGTGGGTCACAAAGAATATTTCCAACAGCCTGTTGCAAACCTTTATCAACAACAACTGTCTTCGCTGTATACTGAAGATCAGATGGCCGGCCGGAAAGAATCACCAACAAGAAACTATGGGAACAAACAAACAAAACAAGAAGCAATCGACCAACAAATATGCAGGAGAAAGTGGAGATGGATTGGACACTCGCTGAGGAGGCCACTGGGTGACATCGTGCGTCAGGCCATCACTCGAGTGGAACGCGAAAGGGAAGCGGCGAGTGGGACGTCCAAGTGTGGGTGATATGGAGGAGATCGTGTGAAGAGGAGTTGAAACAGTATGGACTAATATGGATGCAGGTGAAAAGTACAGCAGAAGGCAGAAGCAAGTGGAGGCGTGCAGTTGAAGCCCTATGTTCCACTAGGAACCCAAGGGAACAATAGTAATAATAATATGTTGTATTTAGTGTACAAATTACAGTCAATAGTTTTCTAAAAACTATTTAATCAGCAGTCCGTTTGATCGTAGTGATTAGTGATCATTCGGAAAATTAGTTTAAATGTAAATACACATCCAGCCGACAAAAAAACCTTAAAGGGACAATATTGTGCGTCCAGAATCCCATTGTTTACAATCAAAACAACATCTGAGGGGCTTAAGCTGTGCTTCATTTCTAACTATAATTGAACAAAGTAACGCTTAATTTATGCCGAAAGGAAATTTGCATAGCACTCTGAAAATTGTGTACACAAATTCGCGAATCAAATCTTCACATAGGCACAAAATGGAGTGTATTATGCATAAATTTAGGATAGTTAGAAGGTTGATGTGCTTCTCCTGGCGGCTATCTTTATTTAATATGTTCGAAGGAAAACCATCCATGCGGCTGATTTTCGCCCACCCTTTAATTCTGTTGTGTGCATACATACATCTGAGGAAGTTTTCACACTTACACAAAAAATATAAGAGTCCCACAATAAATAAATTACACACTAATGTGAATGAAAGGTGCACAGAATGAATAAATTATGGGAGAAAAACTTTGAATAACATAGTGTAGAATGTGTTTTGATTTCACTAGGTACAAAAAGATGAATCCTTATGCGGAATATAAAATCTAATGAGCAAAACATTTAGGATGTCAGGTGTGTGTTGAAGGCACTAGTGATAAATGTATCAGTGTGTTGTATTTGCATGAATTAGCATGGCCAATTAGTCACTGGTGGGTAACTTATGTCATGTTGTCTATTTTTGATTTTTTTTCCTTCACGTTCCCCAGTAGAACATAGAGCTTCAAGCTAGTGGCTTGAAGTTTCTGTAGCGGTGGTGTTTATTTTTACAGGATGGGGTTGCTAGCCTCATGCCCAACCTTCCCTCTTTACCAGCTTTATTACTGGTTTAGTGAGGTAAAGGAGTGCATCAGTGGCCGGGGATTGAACCCCGGAGCATGTGCATGGTCGGTGAGCGTCCTAACCGCTATGCCACTGACGCACGTTTCATGTTGTCTAATCTTAACTAATGATTGAATTCATCAACTGGTGTTATCACGAACCCTCCTTGAAGACTTACTGAAGTGATACAATACAGAAAAAGGCTAGTTGTCTTGAGGCAAATGTTTTTGTGATTGATTGTCACTAAAGATTGAAGTCTGAAGTTACGAAAGTCATTTCGCAGATTCGAATCTCTAAACAGTTTTGTGGCCATTATAACTCGATGATATCGTTTGTGATTGCAGCGTCAAATTGTAATTCTTTCACTTTCTGAATAGAACTTTAGACATATATATTCCATAGAGGAGAATCAGCAGAGACTGATTCTTAGTCCAAAATCTACGTATAAACAACTATAAATCATCTAGTAGCACAGGTTTTGTTGATAAAGTCACTACTCATACTCCCCATGGAAAAACCCATATAATACACGAATATGCCACTTACGTAAGGCTGGGGAAAGAGAGATGCATGTTATAGTCACTTTATAAGCTTATATTTCTAGACTATGTCTCTGATGTTTTCATCACAGACTTAGAGACGTGAAAGTGTTAACAGTGGTCGACGTTGACACATTTCACTCACCACACATACAAGTAGACAAAAGAAGTATAAGTAAACCACGATCGATGAATCTGTTAGAAACTTGCCAACCACATGTATAACCCTGGGTTCGACCCCTTAACCTGGCCTAGTCAGTAGTAACATCGGCAAAGAGGGAAGGTTTGACCTGTGGCTAGTGACCCCCAACCCCTGAGAAAACACTATAACTACTACAACTAATGTCACTTCAAAGCCCAACACTACATTCCACTCAGAAAGCAAAGGAATGAAAAATAGTGAAGCCACATGAGAGCAAGTACAATTAAATGAGCAATGAGGAATATTTTTATGGAATGGAAAACGACAAAGAATGAATATATTAGTGCTAATGAATCATGCTCCATACTGAAGTTCAGATGGCCGGAAAGAACAAGAACCAACAAGAAACTATGGGAACAAACAAACAAAACAAAAACCAATCGCCCAACAAAAAATATGCAGGAGAAAGTGGAGATGGATTGGACACTCACTCGCTGAGGAGGCCACTCGCTGGGTGACATCGCGCGTCAGGCCATCACTCGAGTGGAACCCGAAAGGGAAGCGGCGAGTGGGACGTGCAAGTGTGGGTGAGATGGAGGAGATCGTGTGAGGAGGAGTTGAAACAGTATGGACTAACATGGATGCAGGTGGAAAGTACAGCAGAAGACAGAAGCAAGTGGATACGTGCAGTTGAAGCCCTGTGTTCCACTAGGAACCCAAAGGAACAATAATAATAATAAAGGAGTCATGTCCTGTAGTCCCGAGTCAGTGGCACTTAGTATTCTGAGGGCATCAGCTAGGCAATCTACAATCCTCCATGTAGATCTCAAGGGAATACTCAGTATCTTCATGTATCGATGCCATATTCTGGTCTAACCCTCACTAACTCTTGGTCAACACTGGTCTACTTTGCCTGATAGTGTGGGTTGTGGAGGGCGGTTGGCTGGTATACCCAATACATTTACTAACCACTTTAATGAATGAAAAATCATAAACACATAGGTTACCTGAATTTTCATACCCCTAAAGTTTGCGTGTAATTTCAACAATAAGTCACTTGTTGATCCACTATACGTGATCAGCTGAAGTGACTACATCTTCTAATTTTAATGCCTACCTCTGGTAACTATATATATTTTGAAAAAGTGTACTGCATTATCTTTTAATGGGCATATAACGAATACTAGCAAATGTAAACTGAGCTTTTTGTCTCTATGCCATGATTTAGTCAGGGGCCACCTCTCATTAGGGCTGATGCAACACTTCCATGCCAGGGAAGTAATCAAAACATTCAATCACTTAGCTATGTAAGTGCGTGGGTGGCACAGCGGTAGAATGCTCGCCAACCATGCCACATGTGGTTCGGGATTCGATCCCCGGCCACTGACTCACTCCTTTACCTCACTAAGCCAGCAATAAAACTGGTAAAGAGGAAAGGTTGAGCTGGGCATTAGGCTAGCAACCGCATCCTGTAAAAATAAATACCACTGCTACCGAAACTTCAAGCCTCCTAGTTTGAAGCCCTACGTTCCACTGGGAACGTGAAGGAATGAAAAAAAACTTAGCTATGTATCCTCAAATTAGGAGTCGAAGGAGACATCAGTTGGACACTAACTAAAATAGTTGTTAGTGAGAGAAACATAATGCCAATGTAACCCAGCGCGATTTAGTAGGGTAAAGTGAAATCGGATCAACATCAGGCGCTTATCATTTCTAGAAGGCATGCTTCATACTAATATAAATTGAATGATAACTCTGACAAAAGCGCTTATCTAACAGTTATTAATGATAATAAAGAAGATTAT